GTTTTTTGTTGTTGTTGTTAGGTTCAATTGAGTTGCTTCTGACTCACAGCGGCCCTCCGCACAACACAACGAAACACTGCCTGGTCCTGCGCCATTGTTGCATCCACTGTGTCTGTCCATCTTGTTGAAGGTCTTCCTCTTTTTCTCTGATCCTTTACCTTACGAAGCATGATGTCCTTCTCCAGGAACTGGTCCCTCCTGATAATATGTCCAAAGTATGTGAGACAAAGTCTCACCATCCTCGATTCCAAGGAGCAGTCTGGCTGTACTTCTTCCAAGACAGACTTGTTCGTTCTTCTGGCAGTCCACGATATATTCAGTATTCTTCACCAACACCATAACTCAAAGGCATCAATTCTTCTTCGGTCTTCCTTATTTCATTGCCTAGCTTTTGTGTGCATATGAGACGATCACAAATTCCATAGCTTGGATTAGGCACACCTTAGTCCTCGAGGTGACATCTTTGCTTTTCAACATTTTAAAGAGGTCTTTTGCAGCAGATTTGCCCAATGTAGTACATCATTTGATTTCTTGACTGCTGTTTCCATGGGCGTTAATTGTGGATCCAAGTAAAATGAAATCCTTGACAGCTTGAATCTTTTCTCCCTTTATCATTATATTGTTGATTGGTCTGGTTGTGAGGGTTTTTGCTTTCTTTATGTTGAGGTGTAATCCATACTGAAGGCTGTAGTCTTTCATCGTCATCAGTAAGTGCTTCAGGCCCTTTTCACTTTCAGCAAGCAAGGTTGTGTCATCAGCCTGTCACAGGTTGTTAATGAGTCTTCCACCAATCCTAATACCACGTTCTTCCTCATATAGTCCAGCTTCTTGGATTATTTGCTCAGCATGCGGATTGAATAAGTATGGCAAAAGACAGTGACCCTGAAGCACACCTTTCCTGATTTTAAACCGTGCCATAGCACCTTGTTCTGTTGGAACGACTGCCTCTTGATCTACGTACAGGTTACTCATGAGCACAATCAAGTGTTCTGGAATTTCCATTCTTCACAATGTTATCCATAATTTGTTATGATCCACACAGTCGAATGCCTTTACGTAGTCAGTAAAACACAGGTAAACATCTTTCTGATATACTCTGCTTTCAGCCAAGATCTATCTGACATCAGCAATGATATCCCTTGTTCCATGTCCTCTGATGAATCCTGCTTGAATTTCTGGCACTTCCCTGTCAATGTAGTGCTGCAACCATTTTTGAATTATCTTCAGCAGCATTTTACTTGTATGTGATATTGATGATATTGTTTGATAATTTCTTCATTCTCTTGGATCACCTTTCTTTGGAATGGGCACAAATATGGATCTCTTCCAGTTGATTGTCCAGGTAGCTGTCTTCCAAATTTCTTGGCGTAGACAACTGAGCACCTCCAGTGCTGCGTCCATTTGTGGAAACATCTGCATTGGTATTCTGTCAATTCCAGAAGCCTTGTTTTTGCCAGTGCTTTCAGTGCAGCTTGACTTCTTCCTTCAATACCATTGGTTCTTAACCATATGCTACCTCCTGAAATGGTTGAACTTTGACCAGTTCTTTTTGGTACAGTGACTATATTCCTTCCATCTTCTTTTGATGCTCCCTGTGTCATTCAATATTTTGCCAATAGAATCCTTCTCTCTTAGTCTTCTAGTGCTGCTATAACAGAAACACCACAAGTGGATGGCTTCAACAAAGAGAAATTTATTCTCTAACAGTCTAGTAGGCTACAAGTCCAAATTCAGGGCGTCAGCTCCAGGGGAAGGTTTTCTCTCTCTGTCGGCTTTGGAGGAAGGTCCTTGTGATGCATCAGTCTTCCCTTGGTCTGGGAGCATCTCAGCGCAGGAACCTAAGGTCCAAAGGACGCGTTCTGCTCCCGGCACTGCTTTCTTGGTGGTATGAGGTCCCCCTGTCTGTCTGCTCACTTCTCTCTTTTATTCCTCAAAAGAGTTTGGCTTAAGACAGTATCTAATCTTGTGTATCTCATCAGTGTAACTGCCACTCATCCATCTCATTATATCATAGTGATAGATTTACAACACATAGGGAAATCACATCAGATGACAAAATGGTAGACAATCATACAGTACTGGGAATCATGACCTAGCCAAGTTGACAGATATTTTGGGGGGACATAGTTCAATCCATGACACCTTCAGAATTGTAACTCAAGGCTTGGATTTTTTTTCTTCAGTTCTTTCAGCCTGAGAAATACTGAGCATGTTCTTCTCATTTGGTTTTCTAACTCCAGGTACTTGCATATTTCATTATAATACTTTACTCTGTCTTCTCAAGCTGCCCTTTGAAGTCTTCTCTTCAGCTCTTTTACTTCATCATTTTTTCCTTTTGCTTTAGCTACTCGATGTTCTAGAGCAAGTTTCAGAGTCCCTTCTGACATCCATTTTGGTCTTTTCTTTTTTTCCTGTCTTTTTAATGACCTTTTTGCTTTCTTCATGTATGATGGCCATTCAACAACTCGTCTGGTCTCCAGTCATTAGTGTTCAGTGCATCAAATCTATTCTGGGATGGTCTCTAAATTCAGGTGGGATATACTCAAGGTTGTACTTTGGTTCTTGTGAACTTGTTTTAATTTTGTTCAGCTTTAACTTAAACTTGCACATGAGCAATTGGTGATCTGTTCCCCAGACTGCCCCTGGCCTTGTCCTGACTGGTGATAACTGAGTTTTTCCATCATCTCTTTCCACAGATGTAGTCTATTTGATTCCTTTATTTTCCATCTGGTGAGGTCCATGTGTATAATCACCATTTATGCTGCTGAAGAAAGGTATTTTCAGTGAAGAAGTCTTTAGTCTTACAAAATTCTGTCATGCAATCTCTGGCATCATTTCTATCACCAAGGCCATATTTTCCAACTACCGATACTTCTTCGTTTCCAGCTTTCGCATTCCAATCACCAGTAATTGTCAATGCATCTTGATTGCATGTTTGGTGAATTTCAGACTGTAGAAGTTGGTAAAAATCTTCAGTTTCCTCATCTTTGACATTAGTGGTTGATGTGTGAATTTGAATAATAGGCGCATTAACTGGTTTTCTTTGTAGGCATATGGATATTATCCTATCACCAACTGCATCGTACTTTAGGATAGATCTTGAATTGTTCTTTTTGATCATGAATGTGACACCATTCCTCTTCAATTCGTCATTCCCAGCATAGTAGACCATGTGATTGTCTGATTCAAAATGGCCAATACCAGTCCATTTCAGCTCACTAATGCCTAGGACGTCGATCTTCAAGCATTCCATTTCATTTTTGACAACTTCCCATTTTCCTTGATTCATACTTCATACATTCCACATTCATATTATTAATGGATGTTTGCAGCTGTTTCTTCTCGTTTTGAGTTGTGCCACATCACCAAATGAACATCACGAAAGCTTGACTACATCCACATCGTTAAAGACGACTCTACTTTGAGGTGCCAGCTCTTTCCCAGTCGTATTCGGAGTGCCTTCCAACCTGAGGGGCTCATCTTTCAGCACTATATCAGACAATGTTCTGCTGCTATTCATAAGGTTTTCACTGGCCATTTTTTTCAGAAGTAGACTGCCAGGTCCTTCTTCCTAATCTGTCTTAGCCTGGAAGCTCCACTGAAACTGTCTCCCATGACTTACCCTACTAGTATTTGAAATACCGGTGGCATCACTTCCAGCATCACAGCAGTACGCAAGCCACCACAGTATGACAGATGGGTTACTTGGTGCTTATTTCGCATTCTAATGGTTTAAGATACATGTGGTTTGAACCATTAAATATTAAATAAGTCAAGTGTAAATTCTGCTGACAGTGGGAGATTTAGCAGAAGAAATGCTTTCAGTACCATTATGTAGTGCTTTAACAAGCAGTATATCTTCACCAACTTGTAGTTCATAAGCATTTTTTCTCGAGTGCTGTAATATGTAAATTATGTTCAAATGATGGAAATCTCTCATTTTTTATTATCCTCAAAAACAGATTGTACCAATAAAATAGGCCAAGTATATAAATTTCCATTAATATGCTAAGCATTGTGTTTTCCTCATAGTCTCCCATCTGGTGTTGGGTTCTTATCAGAGCCTTAGAATTCATGTTTCAAATCTCAGGGATTCCTTTTAGGGTAAACCCT